TTTTTTTTTTTTTTTGAGATAGGGTCTTGTTCTGTCACCCAGGCTGGTGTGCAGTGGTGCAATTATAGCTCACTGCAGTCTCAAACTCCTGGACTCAAGCAGTCCTCCCATTTTAGCCTCCTGAGTAGCTAGGATTACAGGTGCGTGCCACTATGCTCAGCTAACCCTTTAATATTTTTGTAGAGACCAGGTCTTGCTTTGTAGCCCAGGTCGGTCTTGAACTTCTGGATTCGAGCAATCCTCCTGCTTTAGCCTCTCAAAGTGTTGGGATTACAGGTGTGAACCACCATGCCTGGCCTATTACTCTGACTGTTCTGAAGTGTCTTGACACTAAGTCTAGATGTGAGTCATTATCTGCTTGAAACTGTGAAGCAGAAGCTTTCCCCTTGCCCTCCGATGGTTCACTGAAAAATCAACTTATAATAAGGCCGATCAATAAGAGAAAAGACATACACATGTATTTAACCATGCACAAGGGAAGAATCACAGTGATTACCCAACCACGCAGTGAGGCCCAGCACGCATATAACCAACTTTCAGAGGGGAGAGAGGAGATGGGGCATTTGGTGCTTCTGTTGAGGGATAGTAAATGATTACTAGGGAAAATGAATGGATATTTGGCAGAATGAATGGATTGGGGGCGGGGTGGAGAGACTGGTTCTCTTTGGAAGTCGAATGAACCTGAGAGACTGGCATTATTTTGTGAAAGGTTTGGCAATCGTTCTTCTTGGTGGGTTTGTCTGGCTTTTATGTAGAAGGGGGAAAAGTCTCTTTCAAGGCCTGTTGATCTCTAAAGAGTTTTTAATTTAAAATACTCATTATAGGAGGGAGCCATATCTTGGGGTGAAATTCCCTGCACTCCTTCAATACTTAGTAGGCCCTTTGATGTGAACAGTCACATCTTTCTCCCATTCTGTGAATAGCCTTGTATTCTTTCTTCCTTTCTTTTTTTTGGACACTAGGTCTCTCTCGCTGGACTGCAGTATTACAATCATAGCTCACTGCAGCCTCGAACTCCTGGGCTCAAGTGATTCTCCCACCTCTGCCTCCCAAGTAGTCGGGACTATAGGCATGCGCCATCATGCCCAGTGAAGTTTTTGTTTGTAGAGATGAGGTATCACTATGTTGCCCAGGCTGGTCTTGAGCTTCTGGGCTCAAGGGATCCTCCCACCTCAGCCTCCCAAAGTGTTGGAATTACAGGCATGAGCCATCACACCCAGCCTTGAATTATTTCTTAGGTTGTTTCTCCTTGTGTTTTGTTCTGAAATGCTTATTAAATTGGTGTTGGCTCCTTGAAAATTTCCCCTGTGAATCTTTTTTTTTTTTTTTTTTTTTGGAGATGGAGTTTTGCTCTCGTTGCCCAGGCTAGAGTGCAATGGCACCATCTTGGCTCACTGCAACCTCTGCCTCCTGTGTTCAAGGGATTCTCCTGCCTCACTGCCTCAGCCTCCCAAGTAGTTGGGATTACAGGCATGCGCCACCATGCCCGGCTAATTTTCTATTTTTAGTAGAGAGACGGGGTTTCTCCATATTGGTCAGGCTGGTCTCTAACTCCTGACCTCAGGTGGTCTGCCTGCCTCACCCTCCCAAACTGCTGGGATTACAGGCATGATGGCTCTTGCCTATAATCCCTGTGAATTTTAATGGAGAGGGCTTCCCTGTGAAGTTTAATGGAGAGGGCTACCTTATTTCTCTAGCTCCTGGGAGAGCGCTCCCTGGAGCACCCAAGCCAGCCCCGGTAGGATCATCGGTGTTTGTGAAGGAGTGAGTGGAGAGGCACTCTGGGATAGGATTTATTTTATTTATTCACTGTAGCAATAGCGTCCTGAATTAACTTTCTCTCAGCTACTAGCACGTATTCCTTTTATACATAGCCCTTTATACAAATGAAAAAAAAAATCCCTTTTAAGCTGCTAAGGTCCTTTTTCCTCCCAGAGTGCCCTGAAAACCATGAAGGAATTTTAATGAACGATGTTGGAAAGACGGGCGAGGCTCAGATGGATCAGCAGATGCGACAAGAAGAACCTTTGCCGGAACATCCACAGGACAGTGCTAAGTTGTCCAGGACACAGCTGGTGCTGCGGCGAGGGCTTCTGCTCCTGGGGGCCTTCTTAATCTTGCTGGTGGGGATTTTAGTGAGATTCTATGTCAGAATTCAGTGACGTGGCAGGAAAGAAAGTCAGGTCAAGTGATGCTTTTGAGCTTACACACAATTCACAGGCCCACCAGTGACAATTTACTTTGAGTTAATGTCATTCAGGTGTACCCATGGATTCTGAGGGTTGGGAATGCAAAGATACATTTCTCTAAAAAAAGAAAAAGCAACTAAGGTTAAAAGCTATATTGTGGCCCAAGACACTGTCTGAAAGATGACATGAGTAATATAATTCACCACTATCTGAACCAAGGACCAATGTGCTGACTGCATTGGCCAATGGCTTTGCTATTTTTTTAGACACAAACCCAGAAACTCAGTGCTTAAGAATTCATACTGCCTGAATTATGTAAAATATATTTTACAATATATCTTTCCTTGGGCCTTAGATTACTATTCACTGGGCAAATGGTATTTGTTTTTGTTTTAATTTTTTTTTTAATAGACGGAAGTCTTGCTCTGTCACGCAGGCTGGAGTACAGTGGTGCGATCATAGCTCACTGCAGCCTCAAACTCCTGGGCTTCAAGCAATCCTCCTGTGTCAACCACCAGAGTAGCTGAGACTTCAGGGGTGTGCCACCATGCCCAGCTGGCATTTGTTAATCTTCATTTGAGGTCTAGATCTAGGCACTGTGGGCACTGAAAAACAGTCGGGAAATCTTTGGAGCTGTGGAAATCCAGACAAGGACTGATAATTCCTGGCAGGGGTGTGTGCGTGACCTACTGCAGCCTCAACCTCCTGGGCTCAAGTGATCCTCGCATCTCAGCCTCCCGAGTAGCTGAGACCACAGGCGTGTGCCACCACGCCTAGCTAATTTTTTATTTTTTGTAGAGACGGGGTCTACCCGTTTTTTCCCAGGCTGGTCTTGAATTCCTGGGATCAAGCGATCCTTCCACCTTGCCCTCCCAAAGTGTTGGGATTATAGGCATGAGCCACCACGCCTGGCCAGAGGACAAAATTTTAATAAAGGTCTTAGCTTAAGTAGTAATCCTACTTCATTAACCTTCCTGGGGCGGGGTACGCACCGATAATTCAGCAAGCCTCAGTACATACTAAGTATGCTCAGTGCTGTGAAAGTGGATTACACCAAATTAAGTCATTCTTATCACACCCAATTAAAAGTCAAGAAGCCAAGGATAAAAGCACCCCAGGCACATAACATTAATCTAGTAATGTAATTCTCTGCACATCCAGCTGGCGAAACTGCCTGCTGTAAGCCGAGACCAGCTTTATCCATAACTGCTGAGATAACTTGCTGAAGCTCTAGGAATAATTTCGCCTGCCCGGTTGCTCACCAATTGTAGCTTGCCAGCTCCCAGGACCCTTCCCGGTGCCAATAAACTTTCTCAAAGAGCTATACTGACATTTCTTTTGATAAAACCTCCAGCCTTCTGTGTTGTTCCGACATACCGAGGACCACCTGGTCTACATAGATGCCCTGAACTGCAATTCTTTCTTCCCAAATAAAACATATAAATGGAGATTTGCCTGTACATGTTTGACTTAGTGCTAGGATGGATATAATGCTCTAGGCATGGCCCTTTCCTGAAATAACAAAATCAGAAAAGTTACCCGCTTTGAGTAAAAAACACCCACGTGCTGATTTTGGTTGGGGCCACCTTAAGGTATCTCTACCCTTAGTGCCTTGTTCTGGGGCCACGAGGCCCAATCTCCAGGAAGGCAGATGAAGGCTTGCACTGTGGCCCTCGGGGTTGGGCCTGAGGGCAGGGGGCAGACACTGCAGAGGCCCCTCCCCAGCTCCTCATCAGGAACTCTCGAACCCTGTCACCATTCCCCTCGCACAGGACTCCCTGTCCTTCCCCTTGCCAGGTAGGGCAGGGACCCCCCGGGGATGAGAGGAGTTTCCTTCAATCAACAGCCACAAGTAGCCGCTGGCTCCACCCCGGGCCGCCAGGAGCAGGGAGGCTGGGGTGTCTGCGAGACCGGACCCCTCCTCTCCCGGAAACACCTGAACCCGCAGCAAGCCCAGGCCAGGAGAAGCATGTCAGAAAGCGCTAGACCCGTACTCCGCGGAGGAGGATGGAATCACCAGCTCCATCCTGTCTGCCCACCCTCTAGGCATTTTGCTCTTCCAACGTGACCCACAAACTCTCCGGATAAAAACCCGTGTCATCCAAAAGCACACGAGGGTCCTCCCCCGCAGGGACCCCTTCCCCGAGCCCCCTTCATCAGCCCCCAAGGGCCCTCCCGGTCCCCTCCCGCAGGGTTCTGCGGGCGGCATCATTGCACTGGGCGTCTGGAGCGGGTCCGGGTCCGGGCTGGGTGGGGCCGAGCCGTCCTCCGTCCCCCTTCCCCGCGCTGCGGTCCCGCGCCCGCGCCGCAGCGAGCCGCTCCCCGCCTCCGCACGGAGGCCCCCGCGGCCGCCGAGCTCCCAGCCGCAGCCAAGGGCCGGCCCCCATAGCGGCCCGGGCCCTCGGATGGCGCGACCGCCTGCGGGGCCTGCGGGGAGCTCTGCCCCCGAACCTGCAGCAGGAGGCGGCCGAGCTGGCGGCGCTGGCGGGTCCCGTGGTGAGTGCGGCTGCCCCGCGCCCAGCCCGACGCCTCCGGAGCAGCCGCCGCGCGGGGGTGGGCGCGGGCTTCCAGGAGGGAGGGCGGCTGTGAACGCGCCTTGCTTTCTGCGCCTCCGCAGTTTCTTGCTCAGTTGATCATCTTGCTCATCAGCCTCGTCAGCTCCATCTTCTGTGGACATCTGGGCAAGGTCGAGCTGGACGCTGTCACGCTCGCCGTCACGGTGGGTGCCTGATTTCGCCCCTGTAGGAGCTAACGGGCGGCCAAGGTTTAGGATTTGGGCGGTGTCTCCGGGCGCTGTGGCTCACGACGGTAATCCCAGCCCTTTGGGAGGCCCAGGTGGGAGGATCGCTTGAGCTCAGGAGTTCGAGACCAGCCTGGGCAGCATAGCAAGACCCCCGTCTCTACTAAAAATACAAAAATCTACTAAAAATACAACAATTATCCCGGCGTAGTGGCACCGCCTGTGGTCGTAGCTACTCGGGAGACTGAGAGAGGAGGATCGCTCGCACCCAGGAGATGGAGGCTGCAGTGAGCTGAGATTGCACCACTGCACTCCAGCCTTGGCAAGAGAGCAAGACCCTGTTTCAAAATCGAACACACAAGGCCGGGCGCGGTGGCTAACTCCTGTAATCCCAGCCAGCACTTTGGGAGGCCGAAGTGGGTGGATCACCTGAGGTCAGGAGTTCGAGACCAGCCTGGCCAATATGGCAAAACCCCCCTCTACTAAAAATACAAAAATTAGCCGGGTGTGGTGGCACGCACCTGTAATCCCAGCTATTCGGGAGGCTGAGGCACAAAAACCGCTTGAACCCAGGGGCCTGAGGTTGCAGTGAGGCGGAATTTTGCCACTGCACTCCAGCCTGGGTAACAGAAGGAGATTCTGTCTCAAAAAAAAAAAAAAAAAGAAAAAAAAAAAAAATCAATTTGAATTGTATCATGTCTTATGCATCTTCGTTTACAGGTCTGGGACTGACCTGTGGCTTACCATTACCTGATTAGATTTGGAAGGAGCTTGTGTCAATACTTAGAAAAGTGTAAAACTGAAAAAACTGCACTTTTTTCTATTATGAAATTAAATCAGCAGACTTTTAGGTAATTTAGGTTGTTTGCCATTAATTGGATTACACAGTGCATTCAGCTCCTACCCTTTTACCCTTGTGGAAAAGCCTCTCCCTCGGGTTGAAATCACGCTTCCTGGGACGTCTCTTCCCTGGCTTTTGTTAGTGATGTGGAAAGTTGCTTCTTCCTGCGCGTTTCATCCAGGATTTCAGAGAACGTGGGAAACACTTCTGCTGGTGATGATAGGTGGCTTTCTCCAGTCTCGGAAAATGTCCCGTGTCCCCGTGAGGTGGGAACACACCCTAAGAACACGGAGGGCCACCGGAGCTTCTCATTTGGCTTCATGGGAGAGAAGACCTTGCCAGGTAGAATCAGTCACATTTTATTTACAGGCCTGTTATTTGGTGAGCTAATTGGGTTAAGGGACATTTTTGCTTCCTTTGAAACTTTAGACTGGGGCTCTAGGAAGAGGCACGAAGGCAGAGGAGATTCGTATACATGGCTGGTGGGGACATTTCCTGCTGTGTCCCCGCAGGGCCCAGGATTGGGGTCCAACTTTTCTGATCACTGCTTGCCAACCATCACTGCGCCCAGGGCGTTCCCTGGGTTCACTTCTGAGCCGTCTGTCACTCCTCCCTGTGGGTGACGTCTAATGGCCAGTCAGCTGCCTCGTTCAAGAGGACTCAGCACCTGGGTGTCCACTCTTCTCTCCCCGCCTCTGCTGTCATCCCTGGGGCGTGGGCCCGACCCTGTGGCCCACAGTTACAGCTTTCGTTTTTGAAAGGGTTCAAGACCATGTAATTGGCCGAAAATGTCCACATAGGTACAATGACCAGATAGCCACCTACTCTTAACCTAGGATTGAGAAACTGGGGAACTCACCTGGAGACTTCGGGGTCTTGTTTTAAGAGCAGGAGGATGCGCTCGGTGTTGACGAAGTCGGCCCAGCAGGGAAAGCAGCACAGCATGAGGATGAGAACTCCTCTCTGCATATGATCCCCACAAGCTTCAGGTTTCTGCCTCCAAAGAACTTGAGGAAACAAATGCGCTGCTAACAGCATATGCCGGGCAGGCCGAGGCTGGGGGCCCGCGCCACAAGCAGCCCCTCCCAGGGGTGCCCGCCCGCCGCCCCGGCAGCCCTGTTTCCCATCATCTGCTCCCGCCCTCCCCACCAACAGCTGACAGCATTGGGGGAGCTTCTGAGCCAGGGACAACCAGTGAGCCAGCTGGCCCCTGTGGCATTTGACACGTGTCCTGGGACAATGTGTCCCTGCTCCCAGAAGCTGGGACAGTTAACATGGAGGGTATAGGCAGCAGAAACTGAAGCTTAGAAGAGAGTTTTCAACACTGGGGGAGACAGATGCTGCAGGAGAGCGTGTGCCGTGGTAGAAGGTGAAGTTGTGGGGGACTCTGAGGGCCAGGGATACTGAGGGAGGGTGCAGAGGAAGAAAAGCACACACTGTAGGCTGAGAAGGGCGGCTAGGGAGGCGGCAAGAACTTCGGGGGGTGGGAGGTCATGGAGGCCAAGGCAGTGCTCTAGAAAGCAGGGATGGCCAAATGGAGTAAGGACGGCCAAGGGCTCACCTGAGGATTTTGTCACAGGAGGCCGGGAAGAGGCCAGGCCCAGTGGGCTGGGCAGGAACGAACAAGGCATCAATGGGAGCTGAGTCAGGAGTGCAGGCCAGGCCTGAGTGCAAAGAACACCTTCAAGAAGCTTGGCCTGAAGGAGGCCAGCAGGGAAGGAGGGATGGTGGTGAGGGAGGGCGATTTTAGGGTATGGGAGACCAGTCTGGGAGGGAGGAACAAAGGACAAAATGCCCTTGAGCAGGTGGCCCCAGAGGACAGCACTGGTCAAGCTGACTCTGCTGGTTTTGGTTTTTGTTTTTGTTTTTTGAGATGAAGTCTCGCTCTGTTGCCCAGGCTGCAGTGCAGTGGCGGGATCTCGGCTCACTGCAACCTCCACCTCCCAGATTCAAGCGATTCTCCCAATGCAGCCTCCTGAGTAGCTGGGATTACAGGCGCCCACCACCATTGTATTTTTAGTAGAGATCATGTTGGCCAGGCTGGTCTCGAACTTCTGACCTCAGGTCAGATCTGCCTACCTTGGCATCCCAAAGGGCTGGGGTTACAGGCGTGAGCCACTGCACCCGGCCGACCCTGGTTGTATTTCCAGTCATTTGCAGCCAGGTACAGATGTTTGCTCCAGTAGTCCCAGCTACATGGGAGGCTGAGGCAGGAGGATCTCTTGAGCCCAGGAGTTCAAGTCCAACCTGCCTGGGCAACATAGGGAGACCTTGCCTCCAAAAATAAAAATAAAATGTTTTAAAAAGATGCTCCATGACTTACAATGGGCTACCTAGCTACCTCACAACTGTAAATTAGAAATATCGTGAGTTGAAAATGCATTGAATGCATCTAACCTACCAAACATCACAGTGTAGCCTGGCCCACTTTAAACGTGCTCAGAATGCTTACATTAGCCCACAGCTGAGTAAAATCATCTTAGATAAAGCCTATTTGTGATACAGTGTTGACTCTCTCATGGAATCTACTGGAGGGTACTGAAAGTGGAAAGCAGAATGGTTGTATGGGGCTTGAAGTGCAGCTACTGAACATGTGTCGCTGTTGTACCATCGCGAAGCTGAAAAATCGAAGTCGGGGACCATCTGTATTTGACAAATAAAACGCAACAAAACCCATAGGGTGGATGGTCCTAGAAAGTCTCTATTATGAAAGGTAACTGCCAAAAAACGGTATGTGGGGGAGGGTGGTCCTCACCTGAGACATGAAGGTGTCACGAGCTGAGGCTAGGCCGATGCCAACTGCAATCCCAGTAACCTTCGCCACCTGCAACAACAGAGCCGGTGTGGCAGATGTTCTGGAGGCGACGCCAGTTCAGGGTCACATCAGACAGCTCCCTCTTCATGGAGGAACCTCAACAAGCTTGTCTCTAAAGAACTTTGGGGGGCAGGAGGTCATGGAGGCCAAGGCTGTATTTTAAATGTATGCTGTATTTTAGATCAAATGGGTGTCTACATCTATCCTTATTGATTATTGAACAAAAATGTACCTTCTGACTAAAGGATGATAACCACCTTGTGTCAACTGGGGAAATATGAAACCTAGTTTTTCTTAAACAGTATAGCGCATTATAATTTCTATATTTACAGTTAAGTTGTGGGCCGGGTGCGGTGGCTCATGCCTGTAATCCCAGCACTTTGGGAGGCCGAGGCGGGTAGATCACTTGCAGTCAGGAGTTTGAGACCAGCCTGACCAACATGGTGAAACCCCATCTCTACTAAAAATACAAAATTGGCCGGGCATGATGGCAGGCACCTGTAATCCCAGTTACTTGGGAAGCTGCGGCAGGAGAATCGCTTGAACCCACGAGGTGAAGGCTGCAGTGAGCCAAGATCATGCCATTGCACTCTAACCTGGGTGACAGAGTGAGACCCTGTCTCAAAAACATAAAAAATAAATAAAGTTAGGTTGTGGTTAACATCTAAAGGTGATGCCCCGATCTGCCAGTAGGATGTGCAGTTAGTAATAATAACAGCAAACTTCTATTGAGCACATACTATGTGCCAGGCACTGCCCTAAGCCCCTCATGCACATGGTGCTAGGACCACTCATCTCATTTTTTGTATTGGGTAGCATGAGTTACACAAAGTGTATGTCCCTTGCCCAAGTTACTCAGATGGTGACCTGAGTCTGGGACATCTGGTTTCAGATCCCAAGGTTTTTTGTTTTGTTTGTTTTTTTTTTAAATTATACTTTAAGTTCTAGGGTACATGTGCATAACGTGCAGGTTTGTTACATATGTATACTTGTGCCATGTTGGTGTGCTGCACCCATCAACTCGTCAGCACCCATCAACTCGTCATTTACATCAGGTATAACTCCCAATGCAATCCCTCCCCCCTCCCCTCTCCCCGTGATAGGCCCCGGTGTGTGATGTTCCCCTTCCCGAGTCCAAGTGATCTCATTGTTCAGTTCCCACCTATGAGTGAGAACATGCGGTGTTTGGTTTTCTGTTCTTGCGATAGTTTGCTGAGAATGATGGTTTCCAGCTGCATCCATGTCCCTACAAAGGACACAAACTCATCCTTTTTTATGGCTGCATAGTATTCCATGGTGTATATGTGCCACATTTTCTTTTTT